AAAAAAAAAAAAAAAAAAAAAAAAAAAAAAAATAGAACACAAACCTTTCCAGTTCCAGGGGGGCCAAAAAGAAGAATGCCTTTCCATGGTGTTAAAAGACCAGTAAAGTACCTGCAAACGAAGATGTTACATCATCGTTTAACCAAGTCCAAAAACTTAAGAGTTTGAACTGGGGAAATAAGAAAGTCTGAATAAAGACTAACTTTGGATACTTTATTGGCATGACAACAGCCTCTTTGAGTAGCCGTTTGGCATTATCTAGTCCTTTTATGCTTTCCCATTTAACATCTGGACTACCTCGGATGATATCTCTACAAATTATGGAAACAATTACACAGATCAACAAAAATATGTAAGATCAAGCCAGACAAAGCTATGTAAGAGGTTGTACATGTAGAAAATAGAGCAGTTACTTACCTACACAAACTTTCTGCCAAAGCACGCACTTCAGCTGACTCAAAAGGTGGAAGTAAAGATCTGTGCCTGAAAGCAAACTTTAAATGTCAGAGATGCACAGACAGTCTGCGAATTCTCCAGAGGTTGTCAAGCCTCCAAAGGACCAAATTGAGTTTTGTGATAACCGTGAAATATTCACATGAGCTTAGACTACAAATTATTAATTTGAAAAGAAAAATGTTCATGAGCTAACTGCATGCTCTAGTCCTCAAAAGTAAACATATTCACATTTATCAAGTAATATAAAAATTTCAGAATAATCTTCTCTGAGCCACATGATTTGAAGAACTCAATCAACTTAGCACCTCAAATTTTTTGCCTTAATTAACATCTCGGCAAGTCTACTGGAGCGAAAATGTTAGTTTTACAATGTAAAAAGTTTTTGGTTCTACTTTTAAAGCTAAAGAGTAATACTCTGAAAGAATTGTCGCAGATGTTTATTTCATTGAAATATCATTACTTTTTGTTGCTCTTCACTCTTCCATGCACATTAATTTAGTAATTTAGTTAGGACACCTCCGGCAGGAGAATCTGGGCACCGATATTCATCAAAATGCTAAATGCAAAATGCGGAAGAAGAAAAACGTACGGCTTTTCATCTGCACCCACCAACGGAACTCCATTAGACTGCACCGAATTCCCTCGATTCTGCATAACGTAACAGTGTCAGAACAATGATTTGAGGACTGAACGAAACAAAAAGTTCTTTGTCAATTCAAATTAACTACTCTTCACCTGGTTGCTAAATTGTTCAAAGATAGCCAAGTCAGATGCATTCTTCACATGCTGACTCCCATTTGATATCCCATTCAATTGAGCCCCATTATATGATGCTTGGCCATTTGCAAAAGACTCTTCTACCTTGGCCTCCTTCTTCCTCCCAAACTTGGAATCATAGAACAACTTAAATTCCTACGTGGCCCAAAAAAAAGAGCGAAAAAAAATAAAAGAGATGTAATGCAGCAGAGAACCAGCATCTCAAATAGCTAATAAGGATTAGTCGACCACTGTGTTATGCCCATTAACAATCCAATAAATATTCCAAAAAAAAAGGCAAGTAAAGTAACTCAGACCCCATCAAAATTCAAGTGCAGCTATTGAAGCTATCAATCTGCAATTTGTCAACTACTCTTGATGATCTACAGTCATTTTCAGCTGCAAATTAAAGCTAATACCTAGTTGCACTACCATAAGCTCAAACAAAAACGCAATCATTCGCGAATCAGTGTTTCAGATACATAAGTCAATCCACGAGCAATCGAACACCAAAATCGACCAGTCGAGCATATAGATACAGCATTTAGACAAAGCGGACTATGAAGGAAAATGGACGGAACCTGAAAGGACCAACGGGTAGGCAGAGGCTCGTCCGCCATTACCGACTGTGGAGCTTCCTCAGGCGCGCGCACACCCGCACAGATGCGTGCGTTTGTATATACGTACGGCTGAGTTTCGCGATTGTCAGTCGTCACTCGTCAGTCGTCACAATCTATGCGGTGGAGATCGAACACGTGCTCCTTCTAGTGCTTTTCAGGTGAAAGACGAAAATAATGAGATTAATAATTTAGAAAAAAAAAAAAAATTACATTATCGGCTTCCAATTTTCAGACATAACTAGTATTTGATCTTGTGCATTTGCACATATATAAAACACGTTTTTGTTTATATTTATTAATTGGACATGTACTTCTATCATATAAAAATTATTACCTTTGTAAGTGTTTATATCATTCAATTGAGATTTAAATTTTAGTGAAAATAGCTATTTTCGCCCCGTTTTGAAGTCTTGTTAAGTTTTTCACATCGTCCAATAAAAAACTAAGTTTTTCACCTCAGAAAGTGCGAAAGGCATTGTGCGATGAATATGCGACAATTGCGCAATGACATTGTGTGAAAGTTAAAAGTGCAAAGTCATTCGCATATCCCTTCGCACTTTCTGGTATGAAAAATGTTAAAGTGCGAAGACATTGTGCCGTGAATATGCGACAGTTATGCAATTGATATGCGACAGTTATGCGCCAGTTTTTCGTATAACCTTCGCATATGCGACAGTTATGCGATTAATATGCGACAATTTTTGCATAACCTTCGCATTTTCCGGGATGAAAAACTTAGTTTTTTATCGGGCAGTGTGAAAAACTTAAGGTGTCTTTTTATTGGGGTGAAAAAAAAAATCCCTAAATTTTATTTTAACCATGCAACGTTTACATTAGTAACACGAATAAAATAATTTATATATTTGTGGCATATATTAGAAAATTAACATAAATAAAAATAAGTTATTGGTGTTTCTTATTTTTAGAAAAGAAATATATATGTCAGTTATATTTTTCTTCCAACAATGCAATCAAATATAGCGGTTACAACTTTGAATGTGCCAATCTCCAACATTGGCCGTTACACATTTAAATATTTTGCTACCAAATTTATAATTAATTTAGTAATTGATCCAAAAAATAAATAATACAAATATATATTAAGGTGTAACATGAGTAATTAACTAAAAAAATGTAACTCCTTTTGGAGGGAAATGAAAATATGTTTTATTAAATGTTTTATTAAATGCAGTAGCTAGTAATTATATATATATATATATNTATAATAATAATAATAATAATAATAATAATAATAATAATAATAATAATAATAATAATAATAATAATAATAATAATAACAATAGAAGATTGTAACATAAAAAGATGGTAAAATTTTGTTAGCTAGTTCACACAATCTTTTTTATTGAATGATGATATTTTTATTAAATGATGCATTAGTCATTTCAAAATTTTGTTAGCTAGTCAATTTGTTGTAGTAAGAGGCTGGTTAATATTGTGTATACACTGATGATATTTTTATTGTATATGATATTTTTTTTATCATTATAACATTTTTCTCTCTTTTTACAGGTTGGGGTTGAAAATAAGAGTTGGTGAAGTATTGATTTATTATAGAGAGTGAATTTTTATCAATTTTTATATTTGTAATTTTGGTTATACGGGAC